TAAAAAGTTTAGTTCATATTAAAATTCTACGGAAGTGAATAATCATGATGTTGTAATAAAATTAGGTTCCATAAGAAAATACATCGAATTTCTGCAATATCGGAATATTTCCTTGCCATTCCCAGAGGGGGGCAACCTATTGATGCGGTTGGACTTATTGTTGTGATAATATCATCATTCTTATGCTTTGTTGTTATGATAAATCCTATTCATGTGGTGTTATGTACAGTTACACCATCACTTTGGACTTTGAACAACAATGTTGAAGTTCATGCCGGGGCCTAACTTTAAAAGATGGAAAGACGATCTTGAATATACTTTAGGCATGGACGATATAGATCAAGCTTCGTGTGAAAAATGAGCCACCACCTCTAGCACAACTACTAAAAGAGATAATTATGCTAAGTGAGAGAACAGCTTGCTTGATACTGTCAATGCTAAGAAGTTTCTTGCCTAAGTGGAACGAAGATACCTTGTATCCAATAAGGCCGAGACCGGAGATCTAATGAGAAAAACATGTTGGACCGAAGTATGATAACACTGGAGGGGTTGAAGGTTATACATAAGCTGGTTTACATTCAGTCTAAACTGATAGCTCTAGACATAGTTCTTCCGAATGCTTATATTGTTCCCATTGCTCTTAACTCCTTGCTTGTTGAGTTTAGCCAGATTAAACAACCTATAACACTCAATATGAGACTCGAAAAATTAATGACCTCATCTCGAAATGTGTTGTCAAAGAGGAAAAATTAAAAAAGAGATGGGCGAGATTGACTTCCTTGTTTCCCATGATTCCAAAGCAAGCTCTACTAACTTAATAAGTTTCAATGGTCTAGTCATCATACATAAAGAAGTCCAGAACACCAAACGGCATGTAAAATATTTTGACCTTTCTTAAAACTTTGATGATCAAACCTTTGAAATTTCCTAAGTCCTTTACTAGAGCTTGTTTTCGATTCATTGGAAACAAGTAAGGCAGTCTCACCCTTATCTTTTCTAATTTTCTTTTCTTCAACAACACATTTTGAGATGAGTTCATTAATTGACCAAAACTCCTTTCTGAGTATTATAGGCAGTTTTCATCTAGCTAAATCCAGCAAGCAAGGAGTTAAGAGCAGAGTGAACAATAAGCATCCAAAAGAACTATGTTTAAAGCTATGTTTAGAGCTTTTAGTTTAAACTGCAAGTGAACCATCTTAAGTATATAATCCCTAACCCCTTCATTGTTATTATACTTCATCCTGCAAGTTTACTCATTTTCTCCGATCTCAGCGTTGTTGGATACAAGATATCTTTGTTTCACTTGGGCAAGAAATTTCTTAACATTAACAGTATAACGCAAGCCACTCTTGAGATGTTCAGCAATTGACCTTCCAAAGGCGAGGATGCATAGCCTATTAGATCTCTCTCATATTGCATAATTATCTCTTTTAGCAGTTGTGCTAGAGTTATTGAGAGGTGGTGGCTTATATTCATGCAAAACCTGATCTATATCAACCATGCCTTCAGCAAATTCAAAATCCTCCTTCCTATAT